CCCCCCCCACCCCCACCCCCGGCCTGGGTTGGCCCTTTCAAGTCCTGTGTCTGTTGTCTTTGTTTTCTGCTGGCTCCTGGTATCCTCTTGTAGCGTGCAAGTCAGTGGTGCCTGTGCGGTGGGCCTCTAGAAAGGCAAACTTTCAGAAAACTAGAAGTGCAGGCTTTCCTTAGCTGTCAAATATAGCCTCTGTGTGTTAAAAGGCTTCTTTGTGGGGAGCAGGAAGGGGGTAAAAGGAGAGGGGGGAAGCAGAGCTCGCTGGTATTTAGACTTAAGGACTTTGCCCTATAGGACTAATTAAAAAAAAAAGCAATTCTAAGTAAAGCTAATCTTAAATGAATTCAGAGTTGATATATCTCCAACTTTACACCAGGCAAAAAGCATGGTTCTCTTATTTATATAACCTGGAGGAGAAAAACGTGCCGCTTCTGTATTGGAAGTGGTGAAATGTCATGGAACGGAGAAAAGTAGGTAGCAGGTCACGCGCAGCAAGAGCTCATGTTGTTACTTGACCAATATTATGTGGTTTTAGTCCAGCAGGTGTATTGCCTAGAGAGGGAGGATTTATTTAGGTCATGCATACTGGACAAGGAGCTGGAGGACTGTGGCACTGAACATGACTTCATCGTGAAACAGTTGACTCCAAGTTCCCAACACAGAGGCGTAACTCAATAGGAGACATGGCCTTTAGGTTTCTAAGAAGAAAAATAGTGAATACCAGCTGAGATGTAGAATAGTTATTTCTGATGTCCATATAGGAAATTCTTAAAGGAAGTGTGCATAAAGCAACCTTTAAAGGCTTAAATAAGAGCCAAAAATGAATTAAAAGTTTGGTAATCAAACCTTTGTTGGAAAACTTAAAAGTGCGAATATTTACATGAGCAGGTGTCTTGATGAAGAGTGACCAGGTTCATCAAAGAACAGCATATTGAAATTCTAGGACGAAACCGAGGCTACTCTGGAAAGAGACACAAACTTAAGATTGGTTAAATGCTGGAACAACTTGACTTTGGCCATTGTGGGTCTTTCGTTGCTGAGCGCTGGAATAGGTGGTTGGGCTCAAAGCGGAAGTTTTGAGCCTGAAGCTGAAATCAGTAAGATTCTCTGGTTGCTAGGAGGTCAGGCTTTGTGATCATTCTGGTTATTTCTGAACTTAAGTTCTATGAAAATGAGACAGTTGCTGTTCTTCATTATACGAATTTGAGCTCGTTCTCAGTATACTTGTGTTGAAGCAACTGTATGTGTTCACTCACTGGTGTAATCTTAAAGTAGAATCCTTGTCTTTCTGGCAAACTGGTGAAAAATGGTTCTAAGGTATGAAGCATTTTGAAGCATCTGACTTCTGGACAAGGAATGTTTAGGGCAGCATATCTTATTTTCTTCAGACACAGTATTCATTTAAAGAAGTATTTGGCACCCTTGTTGTTCAGAAGAAGCTTTTTGACGTGGTGGCTAAACCTCTAGTGGAAGATCTAATTCATGGGAAAAATGGTAAGCAAGGACTTGTTCTTTACCACTTTTTTGTATGTCTGCTCTGCAATTTTTTTATTGCTAGACTTCTCTTATGTCAAGGTTTTTTTAGCTTCTCTAAGAAAAAATCATAAGTACTTTTTTTTTTCCCAATGAAAATATCTGTGGTTTGTCTCCTGTATACAACATTCTTGGAAATGTTTCCTGCCTTTTGTTACTTCTGAACTTATTCGCCTGTGCTGTGGTATGCTTGCTACTTGTGTCAAGGTCTAATTTTTTGTATATCGTTAACTGGAGAAAGCTTTTTTCTGCAGAAAGGGATGACTGCTCCATCTGAAGACTGACTTCTGAAATCAATTTGTCTTTCTAGAACTTAATGTCTTGGGCAGAGTTTGATATCGCAGTGTGTTCGGCCTTGAAACATTTGGCTAATGTCAGACTCTTGAG